TTGGTAAATAATGACATTTCATACTTCAATGTTTGATAGGTAATAGAGAAAACATTATGAGATGAACGCATCCGGAATATAAGTGCTACAATTTTTAGTTCAAGTTACCTTCAATTTATATGCTTTCAGATTATGAAAAAAGGATGGGGGCGGGTGAGAGAAGACAGAAAACATAAACATCTAATAGACAATGATAGCTTGTACGTTAACACAGCAACTCTAGAAGGTTAAAGTTCATCAAATTGAAAGCTTCCTTAGTGAGCTGAGCTCACTAGTGTGTATGACTAATCAGTGTAATGAAAGTAATACTGTTACCCAAGGGAGTGTGCATAAGTTTGGCCTGAAACGTTTGATTCCAATCGCTTCAGCAAGTCGTAGTAAATTCGCTGTCTTTTGTATGTTTAATATTTTTGAAGGATTCTGGAAATCTCGACAAAATGGCCCGTATCCACAAGGTGTCTCATAATTGCACTTTGTAATTATCTGCTTCTTTTTAAGCAAAAGTTCCTCGGAATATGCTTTGAAAACCGGATAGAAGTCCTTCCTTCTGTCCTTCCAATGTACTTGCTGCTGCAGGTGCACGTGAATTTATAAATGCAATCGGAGGTAACATCAGGAGGGTACTTATCCAGTTTCGATGGGTTTATAGAACAAGTAGTGGTGTATAGTGTCACCAACTTAGCTGCAGGGAGGCATCTTTTTATTGCTCCTTTCATCCTCTTATCAATTTTTTGTGATACTGCTTCTCCTTTTTTATGGTAGGCGAATGAACACTTTCTTCTGTTCAACTGTTGAATACTTCGCTTTCTAGCCTTTTTCTTTACTGTACTCATTCCAGAAATGCCTTTGGATACCCGTTTTCCCTAAGACATTTTTCAACAAAGCTTAATATTCTTCTTCTACTTTGTTAGGCGAACATAACTTTCTGGCTCTGTCGCACAGTGTCCTTAGTAATCGCTGCTTATAGCTTATAGGGCAGAACTTGCTATTACTCTACGTTTTTTTTTAACTTATTATCACAGTCATTAATTCTTGCGAAATTAAATCTTCCTGTCTGTCTGAACTTAAGAAAAAAATGGATAGGGTAAATGCGAGTCTACTCGTTGCTAGTATCAGTCTATGGCTTTCTAATCTTATGTACTGCACTTTTTTTTAAAAATTTGCGACAGTTTATCATTCTAGGAATGCATCAATATGCGTCGGTGGCACAGTGGTTAGGACTCTCGCCGACCATGCACATGGTCCGGGGTTCGAGCCCACGCCGGCGCACACCTGATATCTATGGTCGGCCTGCAAAATTTGGGCTACCGATATCCATGCTGAAAATTCCATACTTGTACCGAGAATACAGTGTGGAATCAAGCTGTAAATCAAAAATAAAAAATAAAAAAAAAGAAATAAAAGAAGATGATAAGAGAAGGAAGGAAAAAATTAAAATTAAACTATAAGAATTAGCCAGTGAAATTTTCATAATTAAAGAGGTTGTTGCTTATCTCATGTATTTTATGGTGATGAGAAAGAGAGAGAGAGAGAGCGAAAAATAAGGCGGATAAATGAGTGATTTCGTCAAGCGATTAAATTGTTAAGATCGATTCGTTTTAGACAACAAATCAGGGGAAAGGGATAAAACTAAGATTGAGCTAATAATTACGAAGTAATGATAGGTTAGCGTTCTGGATGGGAAAAGAGCAATACCGTAGTATGTCTACATTTAATGGATAGGCAAAGCAGAAAAGCAGCTCCACGGATCTTTCTGCTCAACGTCAAACGTAACCGGTCTTACAGAAGCAGTTGAACTGTCATATATACCTTCACAGAGGTAAGTCTTTGTGTGGTAATCATAAGGCGATCAACTTAACTGACATAGTACCTAAAGTCCTAGGTTCAATAAAGATGCGTAGACTAAGTGCTTGGAGAATGACAAACTCTGAAAAGCCAGACAGACTTTAGGTCAGGGAGACCAGGGTGTATTGATCTTATCTTCACCCTTCGCCAGATCCTGGAACACAGACGTACTTACTGGCGTCCACAGCTGTATCCATACTTCCCGACCTAAGAACAGCATTTTATTCTGTTGACCTGACGGTGGTGTGACAATGTCAAGCCGAGAAAAAGCGTGGCACTAATTAAAACACCCAACTCAAACTCACACGATCCTGTTAGAGCTTGTGGAAAGTTGTCATTTGACGCGTCCGTCAGGAATGCCCCTGTCCCCTTTTCTGTTTAATTTCATCATAGATATACTAATGGAATTGACATTAATTGACTTTAGCTCTCTAGGTATTAACTTGTTACCAGCGTACAATCTTGTTGACTTGGAGTGTGCGGTGAAGACTATGACAAAATGCAGAGTCTTCTAAACGGCTTCAGTAGAAATCTTGAAATTTTTGGCGTGTGATTCGCCTCTGTCAAGTGTAAGAAGATGCTGAAGAACTGACCTGTACCAACTCGTAGTTTAGAAATGGTGAGTAGAGTCGATGAGTGAATTGGCCACTTAACCTAATGTTATTGTAGAATTTGGACAGCATGGTAGAATACTAAATTCGGATTTTCAATACAAACGTCAAGTCAGTCAGTTCTTCTATACGGATCAGAAACTCGGAAGGCGGGTCACAAAGAATATTTCCAACAGCCTGTTGCAGACCTTTATCAACAACTATCTTCGCTCAATACTGAAGATCAGATGGCCGGGCCAGAAGGAATCACCAACAAGAAACTGTGGGAAAAAAGAAAACAAGAAACAATCGCCCAACAAATATGCAGGAGAAAGTGGAGATGGATTGGACACTCGCTCGTTGAGGAGGCGGCTGGGTGACATTGCGCGAGCGTCAGGCCATTGCTCGAGTGGAACCAGGCCGAAAGGGAACCGGCGAGTGGGATGTCCAAGGATGGGTGACATGGAGGAGATCGTGTGAAGAGGAGTTGAAACAGTATGGACTAACATGGATGCAGGTGAAAAGTACAGCAGAAGACAGAAGTGGCAAGTGGAGACGTGCAGTTATAGCTTTATGTTCCACTAGGAACCCAAGGGAACAATAATAATAATAACAATAATAATGGTAGAATACAATTTTATATTACATGGAGGATTTCATCATGAGCTGACATCAGTTAGAGAACCACTGGAAATATCAGTTCATATAACTGTAAACACTGTGCGATTTATCAGAATAAAATCTTATCTGTAATGGAACCACTGGAAAACCTGGGAGTGGTTCTCTAACTGATGTCAGCTCATGATGAAATCCTCCATGCAATCAAACAAAAATCCCTACAAAACCAATACTTGAAAATTTCATATTAGACAATTATTTTGCATAACACACAGCGATAGGGTATTGATAACTGGATGACGTTCCGAACACGCCTTATTTCCCATAATCATATGGATGGATTTGCACAGCTTCTCATAGTTTGCTTTATATATTTTTACACGTCCCCTGTTATTCATTGCCCATTATATTTCTTTTGAATTTTTCCCCTTCTCTGCCTCTCTATGTGATATACGGAGTGTGGCAGCGTGAACTGATGCACTTCTCTGCAGAGTTCCATGTTGAAACTCAGTCAGTTATAATCGGCTAGATTGTTTGTTTCGTGAGTAAATCCTAAAAATACCGTATACTAGTCGTATAGCTGAAGTTTGTAGACTAAATTCAAAACCACTTATATCTTTAAGAACACAATATTCAGCGAAGAGACTCTTTTCAACAAATTTATTATCGAGCTGTACAATCGTATATATATGGTTTTTTTTTAAAGAAATTATATTCGGTGAGGGAATTAGGTCAAAGTTGTGAATACATGAAATAATAATAATAGTAGTATGAAATGCATTTAAAATATTTATGATTATAATCATAGTTTAATGTCAAGTGGTAAAATAATTAATGTCATATATAAAATAGTACATAAGGTGTATAGATTTTGGAATGGGGTACATAATTATAAGATTAGTAGACGAATATAAAATGTTACATAACATGGTGTGAAATTTGATAAGGTAGAATTCAATATTGTAAAAATAAAAAATATGAAATTTAATAATTTTGGGTTTAGAATGACAAGTGGGTCAAGTGGAAAAGATTCAGAGTAAGAATAGTTATAATAATGATAATAATAATAATCGTAGTAATAAGGGAAAAGTTCATAGAATAACTAAATAAACAAAATAAATAAATGTCTATCCCTCTACGGCCAAGGAAAAAATAGGGATTGTACGTACTTCTTTTGTACACAAAGGTCTGACTTAAAGTTATGAATTGCCAAGGCCTCAGCTGTCTTTAGAAGTCTGTAGCGAAGAAAATGCGGGAAGCTAACACGAATTCTGTATATGATCTTAAAGTCATGGTCAGGATTGACAGAAATCGACCAGGTGTTCCAGAATAGAGCTTCACACGCACTTCCTTTCTCCCTTGTAAAACCATGCTGGAATATGTTCTCGTATCCGTGCGGGAAGTGTCCTCTGACTACGGCCAATGTACCTTGCTCCACAAGAGCAGGTGAACTCGTAGATGCACATGGAGGCGGTTAGACGGGGGAGCTTATCTTTTACAGAGGTAGAGAACAATTTGCGGCTCGTGAACATCATATGTAATTTTGCTGCAGGGAACGTCTTACTGACTGATTTAGATAGGCGATTTTTTGAGTATATCTGAAGCTTGATCACCTTTGAATTCCAACTTCATGAATAAGGTTTTCTTTGAAAGTGAGTCGGTGACCAGTTTAGACTGCTTATCTTTCATGTTACTGTCAATAAATTGGTTAGGGTAATCGTTTTGTGCAAGTGTGGCTTTTAAGAAGTCAATTTCTGAGTCAACGCAGTCAGAACTACAAATTTTTGCTTACCCTAAAACAGAGTGAATGAATTAAGTTCCTTTTCCTGGAAATAGGCACCTAACTGTAAAAATTATATACATATACTTATATCTTTGCTTAATTCTCTGCTTTTTAAATATGTAAGTGTGAATTCCCATCATATTTATTTTTTTTTTGTCTTTTAGATTCCTGCTGTGAAATTTGCTTTTCAGTTCCGTCGAATAAGTCAAATAATCCTGTGAATATATTCAATGAGTCAGTTATACAAATACCCCGTCAATCAAATTATTGTAAACAAGGAAATTCAAAAACTCCTATTTCTTCTTCACGTAACACTGATCCCTCATCGCTTCATCTCTCTCGTCCTTCCACAATTTCCAGTAATATGTATGATGTTTGGTCAGACAACTCTAACGAAAAGCATTGTGACTTTTTAAATAATCGTGAAATGAATGGACTATGTGGTCTATCCTGTGGTCATCGATTTTGTCCAGATTGCTGGTGTTCCTATTTGACAGTGAAAATTGAAGAAGGCTTAAGTATTGACATCAAATGTATGTCAGTTGGGTGTAATGTTCTAGTCATAGAGGATTTTCTTTTGACATTGTTGAAAAATTCTCCCGTAAAGGATAAATACCTAAATTTACTATTTCAACGTATGGTTGAAGTAAGATATTGTTTATAATGATGTTCCTTTTTTTAATGTTTTAAGTGTATTTCTCTGAATTTTCGGTCGAACGAATATCAAGTGAGACTGGACATAGAAATTAGTTGGGTTAATCTTTTTGGCAGTCAGCAACTTGTGTCTTTTCCTTGTAACCATGTATAGTCAAGTTGTCAGCCACGTCTCGTAAACCGTCAATGCCCAGCTCTTGCTACGCTGGGACTCACGCTGTTCCTTGAAGTTTCTCAGAAACGTTTAGTAATAACGGACGCAAATACCAAAACACCGATTGGCGACTCGAGAATTCTTTATTGTAACACCAACATATAGCCAACTTTAAAACTAAGCTATAAAACTAAGGTCTATGAACAAATATTACAATAATAAATCACAATATTACATCTGACGGTTTTCTCCTGACTTCTTTCTGAACAGCGACCGATGAGACGATGACTGATGTATTGATGCCTCCGCGAAAATTGGGGAAGTTGGTTTTGAGCAAACAACTATGAATTGATCGTTCAATCTTCAACTACATTGACACAAGTGTTGGTTTGTAGGGATTTGATTGGTTACAGGATTTCATCATGAGCTGACATTAGTTAGAGAACCATTGGAAAACCTGGGATTACTGGACAGCTGTTTTGTCTTAGTTTGGGATTGTTCGGCAGTACGCACCCACCGCCAGGGTTCGAACCTCTAGGACCTTCTGGTTACAAGGCGAGCTCGTATACCATTAAGCCACTGGAACCTGATCCAATGGCCAGCAGATGAATTCCAACTTCTGCCAATTCACGACATAGCGTGACCACTAGCCAATGTCTTCGGCGAGTATTTGCCCTCGCACCCGACCTGCTGCACCCCACTGGTCCTGGATTCGAATCCCGGTGGGTGCGTACTGATGAAGAGTCCCAAACTAGGACGAAACAGCTGTCCAGTACTCCCTACAGGTTTTCCGATGGTTCTCTAACTAATGTGAGCTCCTGATGAAATCCTGTAACCATGTATAGTATTTAATGGATTATAATTTGTGCTTCAAACATTTTAGCCTATGAAAAGCCATTGTAAAATTTCGTTTTAGTTTCATGCCTAGTGATGCTTGTCTTCTTGACATAGTAACTGGGTTTGTTGGTTCCACTGGTTAGGGTTTATGAAAGTGATAACTAAAAGTCCTATCACAATAACCCACAAACTTGACTCTTCAACCCTTTCAGTTTTAATTTTCGTCTCATATATATATACTTTTGTAAGTCGATATTTGGTTCATGAATAACAGAATGGAAATTTAATGATGACTTATTTGGGAAGCACGCATCACATCTCGTGAATGCTGCAGACATTTACAACATTTTCAAATCCTTGACACTTTTAAAATCTTGCCACATTCACCTATCCGATCATAGAGTTAAAAAAACCCTGCTGTTTGTATTACACATTTTTAGAGTCATCCGTCATTGCGATTTTGTGTGGGTTTCAACTGTCCAATGTTGATTTGTGCATTGGAAGAGCCGAAAGCTCGACGTGTCCAGTGTGGACGATGTCATTCAGAGTTCTGTTTTATGTGCTCAGAAGCATATCATGCGCCAACTAGCTGTGCAACCTTAAAACACTGGCTAGTGAAGTGTCGAGATGATTCAGGTACAGCAAATTATATGACAGCACACACTAAGGATTGTCCATCGTGTCATGTGTGTATAGAAAAAAATGAAGGTTGTAATCATATGGTAAGTGACTTTTTTTAGAAAGTAACTTTTACTATTTCAATCGATTTATTTTATTATTTTTTTAAAATCTAAATTTATTGAAAAATATAATCACATATTGTTATGGAAATAGGTATTTCATTTGAAGGCGTAACCCTACACTTGGAAAAACAGTTGTCAAATTTAGTAGGATGTGAAACCAATCTCTATGTAAATGATGTGTTTTATGCGGCATTCATTTGACGCAGATAAAAATCAATTCCTCATGAGTCGTATATATATATATATATATATGCATATATATGCTGTCAGTTTATTTGATTATTGTTATTGGTTGTCATCACTTCTTTATACTACGTCATCTAAATTTTGTAAATTAACTTTATGAAAAAGAATTTTCAAAAGCATTGTTTTACCAGTTATTGGCATTGTAAATAGAATTGAAAAAATATGATAAACTGTTTCAAGTTTGATCACGGATTGGTGTCAGTTAGAGAACCATCGAAAACCAGCAGAGAGTACTGGGCTGGTATTTCGTCCCACTTTGGGACACTAGTACGCACCCACAACCCCACTGGCAGGGATTAGAACCCAGGTGCTCCAGGTTACGAGACCATGGTGATTGTGCACATCAGTCTGTGGTGGGAATTGAAACAAATAAATCCCCACGAATTAGCTCTTTGAAGTTAGTCTGATGCTCGCTAGTGAACTGAACGAAGTTATACCTGGAGTTCTGGTGAGCAGTTATGACCACTAGGGTCCACCAAGTCGGATGTGAAGACAAATACTCGCTAATGACATCAGTTGATGGTCGCGCTAAAATCACGAATTAACAGAAGTTAGAATTTATGTGCCATTGAGTTCCAGCCCAAGTGTCTGAATGGTCAACAGACTTGATTGGGCAACCTGAAGGTCGTGGGTCAGATCCCTACTGGTGGAGTCATGGGTGTGTTCTGGTGAAGAGACTCAAGCTAGGACAAAAGAGGTGTCCAATACTACTCCGAGGTTTCCAATGATATTCTAATTAACATTAATCCGTGATCAAGCCCGAGGCAATAGATTGTAAAAGTTACTCTGTTAATTAAAAAAACATTCTTATAAGATGAGTAGTAGGTTAAGTTTGCACTTTCTTTCCTTCACGTTCCGCAGTGGAACACGTCCAAGATCAACAGGAGAGATGATTAATAAACTCGTGGAGAAATCTAAAAGCTCACTTCAACAGATTGAAGTATGCGCTGAAGATGTCACCTAGTAAGGGGATGAAAGCTTCGCAAATTAACTATCCGGCTCGGAGAATACAACTACATCAAAATCATCCACCTGAGCCACAAATCTTCTCTATCATATCTATCATTGGTTTCAGATGTCTCTAAAGCTCATATATAATATAATTTTTACATGCTTAAATTCTCTGTCGTTTATTTCTTATTCACGCGGTGGAATGTTGCACTGTGATAGCGCGTATGTTTAATAAAATTGTCTACTACCACTCAAATATCTGAAATAGTAGATGCAAGTGATAAATCAAAGTCTTTCTTATGCTGTTTTTCACAATCGATTGAAGCATATCAAAAGTAAACACACCATTAAAGGGGATTTCGCCTATCTCGGTGTTTAACGTCTTTCAAAGGTATCTCCACCCACATTGCATTTCCACGTTCTTGTACCTTTTAATTATAATTTTCTAGAGAACTAGTTTGTGTCACTTAGGTTATATATATATATATATATATATATATATATATATATATATATATATATATATATAATGAAAATGCTATCATTTTACGGAAGAAATTTACTTTGTGTGAAATACCCAATAGGACATTATTTTTGTATACACCAGGAGACTGTTATATTACCTGAGATTGAAATAATTACACCACTCTGCATATTCTCTATCGCGTTTGATGCAATTTTTTGTTTGTTAGATCGTTCGAGCAGGTAATATTAGTATATCTTCCCAGGATGTTTTTACACCAGAGAGGGATTCACTGAAATTCAGGGTTAATGTACCTGGTATAATACAAAAGTTATAACAGATTGACTGACAACATCGGAGGTAGATGAATAGTAATACAGTTTACCTGATATCGCTAAGTTACCAAACAAATGCTATTATTATTATTATTATTAGATTACCATCCTGTCTGTTTTGATTTGTTCAACGAGTTGTATTTTGGTTAGATGTTTGAGATTTTCATTAATATGATTTTTATTTATTTTATATTATTCGCTTATACTCCGAGTTGAACATAGAACATCTCAAGTTAGAGCTTTGAATTTTCGATTGCAGTGGTTATTATTTTTATGGGATGGGGTTGCTATCATGAAGCTCTACCTTCCCCGTTTACTAACCTTAATACCGGCTTAGAGAGGTGAAGGAGTGCGTCAGCCGATGGTCAATCCCTGAACCATGTGCTTTGTCCGTGGCGAGTGTTCTACCGCCTAACCATCGACGCATATTATTATTATTATATATTATTATTTCTTTTAATTCCTAGAGGAACATAAGGCTTCAGCCTCGTGTCTCCATTGCGTTCGGTTCTCCGCTAGAGTTTTCACCTCGCCCCAAGTCTGCCCACATGCTTTCATCTCTTCTTCACATGACTTCCTCCAAGTCACCCTTCGACGACCAACTCACCGCTTCCCTTTCGGGTTCCACTCAAGGGCTTGTCTAGTGATGTCACCTAATGGTTTCCTCAGAGTATGACCAATCCATCTCCATTTCTTCCTGCATATTTATTGCACAATCGGTTCCTGGTTGGTTTGCTCCCACAGATTATAAATGTGAAATACGTCATATTAAATGACATGGAGATTTCAATTTTAAAGTTAAAATAACACTTAATTTATGCTGTATAACTGTAAAGCTCAAACGGAAACTGTTTTTGTCTAGTTTTTGTCTATGTCTGGTTTCAACATAGAACTCTGCACAAATGTGCAGCAGTTCAAGTCGCCACATTCCATGTAGTACACAAACCAAGAGAAGAAAGTAGAAGAAATGCATATTAGAGACAGTAAACAGGGGTGGAAAGAAAATATCAACAAGATTCACCGGTTGTTTCCAGCCTTCATTGGTTTTTACCGTCCCGAGGACCCCAGCCTGGAAGTCTACACCTTCCTACGTGACTGGCTTAAACTAACTGTTGTAGATTTCATTGACTGGTGCCGTGTTTTGGCTTGACCGCCGCTAGCTCTTTTCCAGCCTGACCCTATGTCAGCTGACATTGCCCATTGTCGAAGTAGGCGATGACTAGGCAGGAATGCGTAACACATGTCCTAACCATCTGAGTCGATGTAGCTTCACACCCTCGACGATTGTTTTCCCCTACTTACCTAGCACTCGACGGATGCCTAACCTCAATATTGCTCACCTTATTATACCACTTCACAGAGGAGATAGAGAGCAGGCACCTATGACCAAAGACAGCTAGCCACCCTTTTCATGTCTTCCACTCTCAATGGCCATGTCTCGCTCACAGCCATAATGGGGGACGGAGCGGACTGATGAGCAGTACAACCGCGCTTTGGTCGATAGTCGAATATCTCGTCTACGCCAGAGTCGGCGTAAACTGGCAAATGCGAAACGAGCCTCCTGTATTCGTGCTGAGATTTCGTCAGAGATCAACCCGTTGGCGTTGGCTGATGGTACTTCCCAAATAAGTGAAGCGGTCAACGTGCTCTACCACTTCACTTCCTATTTTTCAACTAGGCGTCGATGTAGTCCAGTCCTGTAACATCATCTTGCGTTTGGCGGGAGCGAATCGCATGCCAAAGATTCGGAGATTGCGGCTCAAGGTGTTTAGAAGACTTTGCATTTTGCCAGAGTCGTTGTCTAGGAGGACTGTATCGTCTGCATACTCTAAGTCAACGAAATTATTCCCTGGTGGTAGCAAGTCAATCCCTGAGTCGCTGAAGTCACTTAGGGTTAAGTCCATTAGTGCATCTATGATGAAGTTGAATAGAAAAGGGGATAATGGGCATCCTTGACGGACACCACTAGTCTTCACCAGTTCAGATGACAACTCGCCGTAAGCCCTCACCTGGCTGTATGAGTACGAGTAGAGTGCCTTAATCAGTGCGATATATTTTCTCGGCATTCCCTTTATTGCCGAGCATCTCCAGAGAACTTCTCGGTTGACAGAGTCGAATGCTGCCTTTAAGTCAAGAAATTTAGTGACTGTTGGACGCGTGCCTAACGGTGGAGACAACGGTAATGAAGTTGCAAAAATCACAGATTAAATCACTTTTCTTGTTTAGTTTTGTCTTATTTACCTAGATAGTGTCGTGATACTACTCATAATAGGGTGACCCAAGTGGCCTGGTGGATGACGCCTTTTGTGCATCGGTGGTTCAGAGATAGAATGCTCGCGGGCCAAATAACTCGATTTCTCGCCGATGAACCCCTAAACCTTATCTGGCTGGTAGAGAAAGTGGGCGAGTTGGGTGTGAGGCTAACAACCCCATGGTGTAAAAACAATTCAAACGTTACTGAAAATTCAAAGCTTAGAGCTTGAAGCTATGTGTTCTACTCGCAACTCAAAGGAAGGAAAAACGCGACATCCTAAAGGTCCCCGTAAAACATAACGATGCTACTCACAAATAGCCAACTGGGATCCTTTCCGAGATGTATTATTTTGTAAAGCTGTAGTAGGACTATTCATGTGTTCTGAATGCACTTTGTCGTTAACTTGTTTCTGCCACTGAATATTATATAAGAGTAATTAAAAGCTTACTTTTTTTCTCGGTATGCTTCTTAAATTGTTTTCTGTCTTCGTTTTACATTGATTAGAAATGCTCAATTTGCCATTATGAATTTTGCTGGGTGTGCTTAGGTGGTAAGTAAATCTTGTTATGGTTTTACAATTTTCTAACATTTTATGATCATCAACTATTTCAATGCGTGAACGTCCCAGTAGACATAAATAAACTTACTGTTAAAATGCCATTACTAATCGACATTCATTAAAGGGTCTATCGGAAATCAGTGGACAATAAGTAGGCGGCTAATCTTATAGTTTATGAATTATTAGTATTGTTCATCAACACACCTGCAGGTCAACTTCAGAACTATCAGACCTCAGTCAGTCGGAATTCAGCGTCCAGTGTTTGTTTAATATATATATATATATATATATCATGATATGACTGGAGTGTATATTTTAGAAGAGCTGAGCATAAAATGTCGCCAGTATTTCATTCACATGGTACTCCATAAGACTCTCTCCTTTTGTAATACAAGAAAAATCAACATGGTGGGATGAATCGACTACTTCGCTTTCATTTCGTGTACTCCAGAAATGCAGAAAATTGGAAATTTATGTGCAGTTTAGTAATTTAAAATGTCAAATGTGAAATACCAAATAATTTGATACTTACTATTCAGGAGGGGTACTATTCATCAACACAACATTAGGTATATTTTCACGTCTGGACAACAGAACATAGAAACAAAATTGACACTGCATGATCTGACTACTACACATTACAGACAAAAATACAATTGCTTATAAAGATGACAAATCACACTGTCAGTTCTATTCAGACAAAACAATATAAGTCAACCTAATACTGACAAAGTGTGTTATTAAGATTCAAGGTGGTGGTGGTGGGGGGGCAGGGCAGTTCAGATATGACGTATACGGTATGATAGGGTATCCTTGATGTAATAATAGAACTTAGACACTGTGATACAGTATAATTTCATTGTGGAGTAAATTTGTTTGATAAAGTCTCATAGTGTTATACAGTATTATTTACTGTAAATAATAATAAATAACTCTGCGAAAGCTTATCAACTAAATAAACTCTATAATGGTATAATAGGATTTGAAATCCTGATACAACTGTGAAGGATAGATCAAGTGACAATATTGTTGTATAGTAAATATAAAGGATAATGAAAAGTGTTAGGAAGATGAACAATGTTTAAGGACGGTAATAAGGTAGAGCGAATAGTTGTGATGATAAGGGGTTGTTTTTTAGGTCAGCCATAAAAAAGTCGGCCAGGAGGGGACCTAGGAGGGAATTCATTGCTGCTCCATCTACTTGCCTGGATTCTCCTTTAGGACTCCTCCTAGCCGACTGCTTTATAGAGCGAATAATCAATTAGTAAGTAAAGAAACAACACATTACCCAGGGCAGTGCGAGTTGGACCACCAAAATCCTTCTGTGGGCATAAATTCATAGAATTCAGTTGTTGCATTGATGCTGTTCTTTTGCATATCGCGTGGTAATCTATGGTTACTCTGTCTGTTTACCATCTGAAAAACTGTGCTGGGATAGATGATGTGACCCGGATGATGCGTTTATCTATCAATATCAATATTCCTAGATGGTAGTCTTGCACATCCAATGACTACTCTTCTCGTACATATTCAGAAATCCATTTTGTAAGGACCCTAGCAGTTCATCCTACTTCACAAAGTACAGGCAAATGAATTAATGCAATTGGAGGTAACACGAGGGGTTCGCTCACCCAGATTTGTTTGCTTGAGCATGTTCTTTATGTTGTAGACTAGTTTCGCAGTAGGATACGCTAGAACGATACATGCACTCAGTCGGGGATTATGTTGTAAGTTCATTTGGTTGCCTTTGAACAATAAGGTAACATAATGATGAATACACTTTTGATTGATATAGTTGTTTCCAGCAAAATTTCGTTATTCGATTTGAAATATTTAATTAACAAACTTAGTGGGATATCTATTGTCGAATTAATATTTTATGGATTTCCACTGTTTAAAACGTAGTTCGGTTGCTAGTGAAAAGAAGATTTTGACTGGAGTTCTTCCGCATGACATGGTATACAGTCTGTTAATTGATAAACAATAAAGTGTCCAAGTAGACTTAGGATAAATCCCATGTGATTTTAAGCCTCCAGTTTAAAAAAAAACTTATTTCCTTCAACATTTCATATTCATAAGTGAATATCACATTTGGATGAACTAAACTAAAAAAAAAAGAAACTTGAGTAGATCTTTTGGTTGTTTTTCATCTTCTTTATCGCATAATTCAGTTCGGTATTATTTTTTAAATGAAATGGAAATATGTTAGCAAATATTGAACCGTGGAGACGTGGTATATTCATCCCTCTTCTGTCTCTCTGTGATGTGAACCACTAAATTGAAACTGTACATTTTTTTGGTGTGCGTAACAATAATAAATCCCTCAGTTAATCACGTGGAAAGCTTATTATTTCAGTATGATTACATATGATGTGGACGTAATTCGTGTGACAATCATAGGGGTATCAGTCTGCTACCAGTCGCGCCTAAAATATTGGCTACTGTCTTGCTTCGCAGGGTGTGCAAAATACGTCAGGGATTGATTCGCGAAGAGCAGGCTGGGTTTCGTTCAGGTCATGGATGCATTGATCATGTGTTCACCCTTTGCCAGTTGCTGGAACACCACCACACATTGCAGGCTAACGATCGTTTTGTTTCTTGAAATTAGGGCTGTCTTCGATTCGTTGGACAGGACTGTGCTCTGAAACTGTCTGTTAGAGAGAGGTGTACCTGAGAAATTTGTTAACATCTTGAAAGCCCTATACGGAAACACCTTGGGTAGAGTGAGGGCATACAACCAACTATTATCATTGTTCCCAATCAACAGTGGGGTTAGACAGGTTTGCCCAATCTCTCCATTTCTCTTTAACTGTGCCATCGATGACATTCTTGAGTTAGCTCTGAAGGATGTGCGTGGAGGTGGTGTAGATCTGCTACCTGGAGATAGACTTTTCGACCTCGAGTATGCAGACGATATCGTCTTACTGTGCGATAGCATGCAGGCTGCCAAAATCGCACTTAATCAGTTGGCAATCAGTGTCTGTAAGTATGGTATGTGCTTTGCGCCGTCTAAGTGCAAAGTACTGTTACAAGGTTGGCAGGAGCCTGTACTTGCACTCACTGTTGCGGGTGAACCGCTTGAAGTTGTTGGTAAGTTTTTGTATCTGGGTAGTTGTGTGAGTGCTGGCGGAGGGGTGACGGATGAGATTTCCAACCGTATAATGAAGGCTAGGGTGGCATACAGCAACTTCAGCCACCTATGGCACCGTCGCGATGTTAGACTGGCTGTCAAAGGTCGGGTATGCAATGCTTCGGTGCGAGCTGTCTTGCTCTATGCCTGTGAAACCTGGCCCCTCCGAGCTAGGATGTACTACGACTCTGCGTGTTTAATCATCGCTGTCTCCTCAGGATTGCTTGCGTTCGATGGCATCATCGCGTGAGTAATTCTGGGATTCGGCGGCGTGTGTTTGAACACAGTGGAGATCACCATTCATTGAGTGTCGTCATCTGGAAAATCGGCTCCGGTGGCTTGGATATGTGCTGCGAATGTCATCCCAGAGGCTTCCGTACATGTCTCTGTTCGCTAGCCAGACCTGGTGTGGTGATTTTGATTGTAACAACAGAAGACAAGGGCGAAGCAACAGATGGATTTCCCTGCCCAGACGATACTTTCACCTTGTTTACTTTTTCTAGCATCGAGGATTTAGTATTCCTAGCTGCTTCTTCCTGTTTATTACCGTCTTTAGAAAAAGAGGAGTTTATAATATAATTCACGAATATCGGTAGACCACGAACCAGCCTCTTATGTGTAGATAGGAAGGCCTCCATTGCCACACTTTCATTAACAAACTTAATGATGGCGAAGCCACAGGATAATCCATCTTTGGTTAATGGGAAATCAACACTGCCTTTAGGGAATATATGAATTAGTTCACTTTTGGGCACAGATGGACTGAAACCAGTTACAAAAAGTTGATTTCGATCAACGTTTTGTATTGCTAAATCATTACCAAATGGCAAACGATTAGGATGAGCAACTAAAGTCTTGCCGGCGAACAGGCGACCTGAAATTGCTTTCCTGGCAGCTTCAGCCGCGTCCATATCAGCATACTGCAAGAATGCATATCCACGTGGGACCTTTTTCTTAGATTTGACAGATAGTCTGTACGACACCATGGTTGGTGACAGTGACTTTAACATGGCTTCATTAACATTTGTTGGAATAGGACTCACATACACAGTTGCAGATGAAAGTTCGATTGCACGTTTCTTAATTTCTTCTAGCATTAAAGACGCATTTGTCCAACCGACAGGAGGCAATTTTCTATCGATACTACTATCATTTTTTCCCGAAGTATCCTCACACTCGTCTGAAGACTTCATCTTCTTTGGTTGTGGACCCGCGTCTTTCGTCGATTTGGAATGCACTGCTACTGCATTTGAAACTTTTTCCTTGGGACACCCGCTTATCCGTTTCATCTGTTTCTTATTGGAATTCAACAAAGCATTCAAGTCTTCTTCACCTAACTCTTCGTCTTCATCCTCTTCAGATTCTTCGAGGTCATTGTCCGAAGACTCTAAACAACTCAGGCCCGCGTAAGCTGTGATCATTGAAATACTTGAGCAATTGTGCTCCTCGTCGTTATCTGTTTGGTCGTCTGCATCCCAGTCCGCATCGATCTGTTCAAAATCACTTTCACTCGAGGCTTCTTCAACCTCGTCTTTATTTTTAATGCTGGGGGTGTGACGAACTTTCGGTTTCTTTGTCACAAGTTGATGCTCAGCCTTATCAACGACGCGAGCATTTTTATTTTTCCGGATAGGTGAAATATCGGATGGGACGAAACTCGTCTTTTTGAGTTTTTTTCCAGTTTCTTAGCTTTACTTCGCTTTAGTTTCTTGCTTTCAGATTTCGAAGACGTCTTTTTTTCTTTTTTATCATAAGTCTGCCCATGACCATGTGAGAAATCAAATGATTTTCGTAATAAAACGATCTGTTGCCAGCCCTTGTCTTCTGTTGTTACATTTGGTGTCGCTGCCTCCAAAAAGAT